GGCTCGGGCAGGTCGGTCGGTATACTGAGGTGTTTGGTGAGTGTATTGGGTGTTTCTGGTTTCAGAGTCCTTTTTCTTCTCTCTAGGGGTCGGGTTTTTGGCTGTAAGATATTGTCAGGCGGCTAGGAAATCTTCAACGTTCATGTATTTTTGGGCTTCGGAGAGTAGGGTTGCCAAGGAGGTCAAGGGGTTTTTGAAGAGAGAAAAAAGGAAATCAAATGATCGTAGACCGGCCATGAAAGCCGTGAGAATAACCTTGTTGTCGTTTTTCGCTATCTGCAGGGCTTCGATGTTGAAGCAAGTGACGAAGCTGCGCAGCGACTCTCCCTCGATCTGACAGATGTTGAGGAGTTGGGTTGTCGGACACCGCTAGCGTTGGGCACCAATGAAATGGCTGAGAAAGGAGTCACTTAGGTGCTGGAAAGTGGAGATAGAGTCTGCTAGCAGTTGACTAAACCAGAGTCGAGCTGACCCCTTAAGTGTTACGGGGAAAGCCCGACACATGATCTCGTCAGGGAATGCATGGAGGACCATGAGGGTCCTGTAAGTTTCCATATGGTCGACTGGGTCCATTGTGCCATCGAAAGGGTCGAGCAAGGGCATTTTGAACTTAGAAGGTAAGGGTTTGTCCCTAATAGAGGCAACAAATAGTGAGTTGGCTGTGGTGGAGGGTTTATTTTGTACGTTCTGCATGACTCCTTGAAGTTAGAGTTTCATGGCTCGGAGTTCTGCATCCCAAAGGGGAACGTTGTCACCACCAGAATGCAGCGGAGGCTGGACACTAATGGCCTCTCCCTTAGGGGTGGGTGCCTGGACCGATGGATGTGGGGCCATGGGTGGCGGGTTCATATCTGGAGGAGGGGTTTGGAAGCTTTCCAAGTTTGATGGGCGGGACTGTTGGATAGGATGACTCAGGGCTCACTCTCAGTTGGGTGGGATATCTTGAGGTGGAGGAGGAGGGATGGGAAGATCTCTTTGAAGCAAAGCATTGATCAAGGCCTGGTTTTGTTTGGCTAAGCGGTTAATGCTGTTGGTGAGTTCTATAAAATACTGCGATGGGTTGTTTGGGTTAGGAAGGTTGGCTTAGGGGTCAACAACGTTGTGTTGAGAGGCCATGGATCAAGTTGTGACGATCCACCTTGATGGGTAGCAAATAAGGATTATCGGGGATGGGTCTCCGGCGCTAATGAGCACAATTGCCACATAGAGCATAAAGGTTTCCCACAGACGGCGCCAATGATGATGCGGCTTGCTCTAGACGGAATGAGTCGGGTTGATCCACACTTCTCAAGCCGTCGCTCGAATGTCGGGCCCGCGAAGAGACCTGCACAAGAGTTCGACGGAGAACGGGGAGTCCCCTAGTGAACCCTCCGACGAACAAGTCAGAGAAGAGAGAGAGAGAGAAAGTAAAGGGAAATGGGGATAGACTGATGTTAGGAAAGCTTAACCTTCTTTCTGTCTTAGAAGCCTGCTTATATCATTTGTTCATCATTTCCTTGTCCACTCCGTGCCGTCGTGTTGGCCGAAAGTCTATGTTCTAGCTTGCCTTGTTCGTGGTGAGGCTGTTCTGTTCCGCCGTGAAAGGGTTGTCGCAATAAATGTTGCATGGAACTCATTAATGGCTGATGTGTGGTGCAATAACTCTGCAGGATCTTTGTCTACTGATGTGGCTAGTTCTATTATTGACAGGTGTTTGGATGTCATTGGTCCTCAATGCCACGTTGAGCTTCAGCAATGTTGAGTTTTAGTATTTGAATTATGTATTGGGCTCTGAGTGGTGGGTCAAACGCTTCTATAGGCCCACCTATGTCAAAAATCTTATTGATATGATAATTGTAGTCATATTATTTTTTTACATCTATTCATATATATATACAAAAAAAGACTATTTATCTTCAAAATATTCATACCATCTTTTTTTTTCCTTTTTTTTTTAAAAAAAATTATGAAGAAAAAAATATGGATATAATTATCATATCAACCTAAATTTATTTATTTATTTATATTTTATGAGTAATAAACATATGAAGACTTATATAATAAACAAATTAAATTATCAAAATAAAATCTGTAATTGACTGAGATTGTATGTGGACTACAAACAACATGGTTTCGTCATGTAATTCCGTAGATCTTCTCAAGAAAATTATTTGGTAGTCCAAATTAATGAGGTACCCCAATTCCATATTGATTAGTTAAAATATTAAAGTTGAGTATTTTTGTTAATTTATTAAAAGACATCTTAATATTTAATAAAATAATAATTAAAAACCACCAAATAACCACTCCTCACTGTCAACATAAGCAACCGTGATGTGAAATACATGGTAGATATTAAAGCACAATGGGGAGGTCAGGACATGCAGTGCCAAAACAAGTTGGTTGGTTTTCTGCAGGGAACAATCATAATTGTAGAACACACCCAAATCATGTGATGAGATAGAAATAGAATTAAATTTGTCTACTGGGCTGGCCTCTGTGGTGGGACTCAGCGGACAGAATAAAAAATCTCTAGGCCCCATCACAAGAGTTGATGGGATGGGCTTCTGACAGACCTTCCAACATGGAAAATAATTTGCATGGGTCCCATCAGAAGGAACAACATTTCATGCATTACTAAATGCTAAGTTAGACAGATGCACAGAGATCAGATAGATGTCCCAATTAATGTCAAGTGTTTATGGGGGAGACAACCAAAGTTTGTTCATCACATTTTCCCACAGAAGTGAAAGGCTAATTAAACACATTCCTAAGCTGTATATGAACAGAACTATTGAGCAGTAAAAATTTTATGTCTTAAATTTTTTATCAAATAAATGATAAAATATTTTATATAGATGCGGAGTCCGTAATTTGGTATCCTTAACATTATTCATTGAGAAATAATAAAATTCATATAATACTTCAGTTTGTGTTTATAAATGGTAAGATTAGGCTCAACATGAGTCCAATTCAATAGGTCCGAGTTTACTATCCATCTTAAAAAAATTCATTTCTATTGAGTTGGCGTTTTTTTATGTTTACATTATAATAGGAGATAAATTGAAGAGTCAGTGGGACTCATTATGGGTTCTATTTCGACATTTCGTATCATTTATTTTGCAGGAGTCTTAATGTATATCATCTATAAAGAAAAGTTAGTTGATATGATAATGGTAACATTTTCATTTTATCACACATATCTTCAAAAAAGACCATTCATTTTTTTTAGAGATAAACATGATAAAATAAAAATGTTATGATTATGAGAGCAAACTATTTTTTTTTTTTTTCATAATGATATAAATTAAAAACCTTACAAAATGAACAATTAGGATCATTAAAATGAGACTCATGGTAGGCCTCACTAGCCATTCAAATTCTCTTATGTTGAGATATGAACATAAGAGAAACTCAACCATATACCTTTAGACCTATGTTGTATGGATTTGTCATCCAGGTGCAAGTGTTAGATGCATGTGTGTATTTCGATGTTGAACTCATCAAATTTCAAAATTTAAAAGTATAAAAACTTAGTAAAAAAAGTGGCTATATTTTTTATTTATAATTTATTATATAAGATAAAATGGTGTTGTACTTAGCATGCAGTGTTTCAAATAATATTTTACTCACATTATAGTATATATATTGTGGGGAAGTATCTTGCGAATGACGCCACGTGGATAGTGCTGAGATATCAGCTAAGGTGCCACGTGGATGAGTCATGTTGCCAAGGTGACCACGGCATTGTCGAGATGTTTTGTGATAATCCTAGAATACCAAGGTCTACGGATAAGGGACAAAAGTCCTAGAACAAAGGAGGCTCTCAGTCTGGATCAGGATAAGTCTCATGAGGTGCTTATCTCTATCTAGCCGAGAGTCTGGGATGAGCATTGAGCTTGAGTCCAATGGAGTAAGGCTTTTAGGGGACCAGGTCACTGCTGGTTATAAACGTGAGGCACCTTCGTAGGTCTGAGGTGGGTTTTGACTTGTGAGTTTTAATACTGTTTTGATATCTGTGAGAGATAAGATTCACTAACTTGACCATCGGAGTGTCCCCAGGTGGACAAACCACCACGGTATTCTCATCTTCTTGTTGGTAGATAGTTGGCTCAATCTATTCTGTCGGTGCTCTCCAGCAAAGTAACCTATTTGGTTGTGTAATGGGAAATCAACAACCATAATTTGGAGCCGTTTATGGGAACTTAAGAAGGATAGATGGCTAACAACGAACAGGAAGTGAGAATTGGGGATGACATCCACAGTGATGAGGAGGAACATGTGGATCCTAATACTAGAGGAGAGAACAGTAATGAAGGAGCGCAGGAACAAATTTTTGGGGCGAATGATGTCGACAAAGGATGTAACGGCCCAAAGAAGGGAGACCATGATGAGTATTACAATGAAAGTGATCTCCAGGTATGGAAGGATAGATGTCTGAGAATGGATAAGGAGATGAAGGACATGGCGAACAAGTTGACAGACCTACAGACAGTGGTCAACTTCATGATGCAAAATAACATGATGCAACCATCGTTCTCGTTGCAGAACACACCGGCACCAGCAACCAAAATCGATGCCCAGAAAGGAGAATAAATGACAATCCCAACTGTCTCACAGCATAACAAGTGATAGGAAAACTCACATTGGTCATCACGGGATGTCGGGCAAACAGAGTCAGTACGAGGTGAGTCGCAGAGGACACTATGAACCAAAGGGACCTATGTCAAGGGATCTTGACAGATCCAAGAGAAGGGCCTCTATTTAGATGTAGTGGATGGAGGGAAGTCCAAAAGAACGCACAATTACACCAAAAGTAGCATGCCGAAGAGACTGGAGTCTATTGATAGCCAAGCTCCTGGTAAATCAAAAGAGGACCTAAGAGACTACCTCTAGCGAAAGAGACTCAACACCAAGATCACATCCAACGTCCAACCGAAGATGCCATTCTTATTGGAGCTGGATATGTTTGAGGCGCTGAAGAAATTCAACATTCTGAGGTTTCAAATCTACTACGGTAAGTCTGATCCAAACTTTCCTGTTGGTTTGTATTTGAATTCGATGGCTCTATGGAGCGGCAACGAGCAACTATTGTGCAAGGTATTTCCATTGTCGTTCAGGGAGGTAGCATCGGATTGGTTCCATAACTTATCGAAAGGAAGTGTAAAAAGTTAGGAAGGCTTGGCTGAGATGTTTATGGCCAGGTTTGTTACAAACATGGCACAACCACTGAGGGTAGACTCCCTATTGGCTTTGAAGATTAGCGATGGCGAAGGCCTCAAGGCTTACGCCAAGAGATACTATAAGGTGTACAATCGGATTCTGGCGTGTAACCAGGAGCTGGCAGTCGTGTCTTTCAAGAACGGCCTGGATGATAATTGCCCGCGTCAGAAATCACTTGCAAAAACACTACCGAAGAGCATGGAAGAGCTCATGTCACAAATTGAGAAATATGCCAGAGCAAAAAAAGAAACACAAGGAAAGGGGACACCAAAACAAGAAGGGAGAAACGGCTCGCTGAAACGAGACCGAGGGAATACCGGCATTGACCAGCCAAAAATAGGAATGAGGACTATGTAGGTAGTTAACACGGCATTCGGAATTCCAATCTATAAGGTTTTGGAGAGGATTAGGAACCAGCCATACTATAGAGCGCCGAAGAAGGTCCCTGGCGAGTTTCTGGGAAGGAGCACTGGGAAGGATTGTGCTTACTATAACGAGGATGGTCACATGACTCGGCGATGCAGGGCTCTGAAGTCACACCTAGAGGACTTGGTCAGACAAGGAAAGAGCACGCGAGGGTGCCACAAACACCAGCAGCAGCACCACCACCACCACCGCCGCAGCAAGCGGATAGCCCTCAGGTAATCAGTGTGATTCACTCGAAGGTCAATGAGAATGAAGTTCAAAGGGAGGCCCAGAGAGTAAGACACCCGCAGCATATATATCAGGTCCATCAGAAGAAGCCCAGAACAAATGAATATTAGGGACTGATGATTTCTTTCACGAGGCAAACTTGGATATCGTGCAGCATTCGCATAATGATGCCCTGGTGGTAACTTTGAAGATTGGATATTTTTAGGCGAGACATATACTGATTGATCAGAGAAACTCTTGTGACATGTTGTATGTTAGATGTTATAAGGAGCTTGGCCTCCACTAGGATAATTTAGAACAATCTAATAGCCCAATGGTTGGATTCAATGGGACGCAAACATGGCCTTTAGGAGCCACAAGTCTAAAGGTGCAGGCAGGAAGCAAAAAGGTAATAACGGAGTTTACTGTGATAGATACTTGCTCCCCGTACAACATCATTCTGGGAAGATTATGGTTGCATGCAATGAGAGTTGTTCCCTCAACACTACACCAACTGTTACGATTCCTAACTAAATAGGGGATTGAAGAAGTAAAGGGGGACCAAGTGCAAGCGAAAAATTACTCCATGGTAGCAATGAAGTAGACCTGCAATGTTAGGGAGACATAAAGTGCATAGATTGAAAGCAAAGACCATAAGGTCTTGGATGATGTTGACAAAGAACCTAGCGAGAATAGTGAAAAACCTTTGAAAAAGGTTCTGGTGCAAGAAAATAATGCTGAACATTCTTCCTCCTCGACTCTGGCTTAGCCGAGAAAGAAGAAAGAGAATTGGAGGTCCTGTAAGAGAACATAGAGGTGTTTTCCTGGACACCCAATGAGATGCCAGGGATCAGCCCCGAGGTCACCTATCGTAGACTTAACGTGGACATGTCAGCTATGCCAGTCATCCAGAGAGCAAGGAGGCCGACATTGATACATGTGCAGGCAGTTGAGAAAGAAGTAGATAAGCTACTAGAGGCACAGACCATCAGAGAAGTGAAATATCCCACCTGATTGTCCAATACAGTGGTGGTGAAGAAAAAGAATGACAAGTGGAGGGTCTGCGTGGACTTCACAAGCCTAAACTAGGCTTGCTCCAAGGATAGCTTCCCACTGCTCAAGATTGATCAGTTGATAGATGTCACATCAAGGCATGGGAGGATAAGTTTTCTGGACGCATACAGAGGTTATCACTAGATAACAATATATGCACCGGACGAAGAAAAGACTGCTTTCATCACCTCCAACGGACTCTATTACTATCGAGTAATGCCTTTTAGGTTGAAGAATACAGAAGCGACAGACCAAAAACTAGTCACCAAGATGTTCAAACATCTTATTGGGAGTACAGTGGAGGTCTACATAAACAATATGATTGTTAAAACCAAGGAACCTGGGAACCATTTGGCCGACCTGAAGGAGGTTTTTGACATATTGAAAACATATCGGCTTTAATTTAATGCCTCAAAGTGTGCATTTGGAGTTGGATCCGGTAACTTCCTAGGGTATTTGGTTACTAGGAAGGGTATTGAAGCAAGCCTAGATCAAATCAAGGCTATCCATGATCTGAAGAGCCCAAAATGGAAAAACAGGTCTAGATTTTGACCAGTAGAGCATCAACCCTGAACAGGTCCATTAGCCAAAGTTCGGATAAATGCAAACCATTTTTTTTAGTTATTGAAGAATGCGAGGTCACCTTGGTTGACTTGAAGAAGTACTTGACAATCGTGCCAGTATTATCAAACCCAGTACCAAGAGAAGAATTGTTCTTGTACCTAGCCATTTCAGACCATGCTGTGAGTGTCGTGGTTATCCGAGAAGAAGAAGGTGAGCAAAAGGCAGTGTACTACGTAAGCAACACCCTGAAAGATGCAGAAACCAGGTACTTGCCTTTGGAGAAGTTAATATTGGCCCTGGTAATGCCCTAAAAAAAGTAGAACCATTACTTTTAAGCCCATAAGATTGTGGTGCTAACTGAATATCCACTAAAGTCCCTATTGTAAAGTGGAGACTTGACAAGCAGAGTAGCCTGATGGACTGTAGTTATAGGTTAGTATGACTTAGAATTCAGGTATAAAATAACAATTAAGGGCTAAGTTTTTGTCGACTTTGTTGCAGAATTCTCACTAAGTGCAATCCTAAGGAGGGCGCCGGTGAGCTGCGACCTAGCATGTGCAGGAGAAATTGAGGAAAACCAACCGGGGCCACAGAATCCCACGCCGATAGAACAAAAGGAGGGAGAAGAAAGGCTATAACCGTGCGACATTTACATCGGCGACTGCTTCCGCCTCTATGTTGATAGCAGCTCAAACTAACAAAAAGCGAGGGTAGGAGTGGTTTTGGTATCGCCAGATGGCCAAATGATAGAACAATCCATTTGTTTGGGGTTCAATGCCTCAAATAACTAAGTAGAGTATAAGTCATTGATTGTTGGACTAAAATTGGCAGTGACTGTAGAAGCCGATGAGGTGGTAATCTTTTGTGACTCCCAACTCGTTGTAAATCAAGCAACGGGCGAGTACGGAGCTCGGGATGAGAGGATGATAGCCTATGTCAAAAAGGTTATCAAGTTATTAAGATGTTTCCAAAACTGTCGGCTGCAGCAGGTTAACCGAGATGATAATAGCCATGCCGACACACTGGCTAACCTTGCCAATGTGATGAAGTTAAGAAAGGCCAGGACAATTGAAGTTGGCCAGGTTCTGCTTGCCAATAGAAGGCCATCTGTACAGGAGATCCTTCACTAGACCACTTCTACGATGTGTGTACCCATCCCAGGTAGAAGACTTTTTGTATGAGATCCATGAGGGAGTATATGGAAGCCATGCTAGAGGTAGATCACTTGCCAACAGGGCCATATCTCAAGGATATTGGTTGCCCTACATGCAGAAAGATGTTGAAGCTTACGTGAAAAAATGCGAAAAGTGTCAAAGGTTTGCACTTTTGACACACCAGCCAACTGTAGATCTGAATCTAGTGTCCAGCCCTTGGCCATTTGCTCAGTGGGACGTGTATTTGGTTGGCCAACTACCCTAGGAAACTAGACAAAGGAAGTTCCTGCTAGTAACAACCGATTACTTGCCGAACTGGGTAGAGGCTGAACCCCTGCCCAAAATTCGAGATGTGGACGTGAAAAATTTCATCTGCAAAAAACATAATTACCAAATTTGGAATCCCAACAGCCATAGTAGCAAATAATGGCACTCAATTCGATAGCAAGTTGATCAAAAATTTCTATACAAAATACAAGATCAAAAACTATTATCCTACTCCTAGCTTCTCCTAGAGTAATGGACTGGCAAAGGCATCCAACAAGACCATCTTGGATGGAATCAAGAAAAGGCTAGAAGCTGCCAAAGGCAAGTGGATGGAAGAATTGCCTAATGTCTTATGGGCATATCAAACTACGCTAAGAAGATCTAAAAAAGAATCTCCTTTCGCCATGGCATATAGCACCGATGCAGTCATCCCATTGGATATTGGCATCCCTAGAATAAAAACCCAGGGAGTGGAGAATGGAACAAATGAGGCATTCCTTGCCCAAGATCTCTATCTGATATAAGAAAGAAGGAAAAGAGCAGTAATTCGGCTGGGGGCATACCGACAGCAGCTTGCTAGGGCATACAACAAGAAGGTCAATCCCGGGGAGTTTCAAGTTGAAGACCTCATCCTAAGGAAGGTTGTTGGCAATAAGAAAGATCCTAGGGAGGGCAAGCTTGGCCCGAACTAAGAAGGACCATATCGTATCATCTCGATTGCAGGCAATGGAGCTTATCGGCTTGAGCGCACTGATGGCAAAGAGTTGCCAAGGCCATGGAACACAAGCAATTTGAAGTTTTTTTTTACCATTAATTCCAGTTTTTCAAGTTTTTTTCTACGTAAAGGTTTATTAGACGGAGTACTAATGAAATACTAGCTTGATTTTGTTTTATGAAAGTGTTGTTGAAATTTGTGTGATAAGACTGAAAAGTCTTAAGCCGTTGTTCCTATGGTGAACATGACGAATAACTTAGACTTGCCATGATGGTAGAGTTGAACTAAGTCTGCGATGTTTTCGCATGAAACAAGATGATTAACTTAGACTTGCCATGACGGTAAAGTTGAACTAAGTCAGCGATATTTCGGCATGAAACAAGGTGAGACTGGTTCAGGGTATAAGAAAAGCCGAGGTAAATAAGTACTCTCGGTGCGCTAAGGTTAAGCCTTAAGTGCCTCGCTTGGGCGCGCCAAACATGATGACCTCGGTCAAGAATGTTTAAGTAAGACTTTGGCAATAACCAGGTGATGTGTCCTTAATGTGAACATAAGTGGTACTTAGGTTCACTTTAGGGGTACGAAAGAGGAATGAGCATAACACTTGTGAAAATATTTGCAGTTATTCGAGATCATTGACAAAAGATACTATCCAAGATAAGTCAATATGAGATGATTGTACTATACTGCATCCGAAGTGTTGTTATCCAAGATGTTGATATATCCAAGGTGATGCACCAAGTTATCAGACTTGGAAAGACAAGAAAAATTCTTAGCGTGAAAAAATATGCAAGGCATAAAAAGGCAGTGAGCATACATGAAAACAACATTCAACACTAAAGGAAAAAAGAAAGACTTGCATTGAGAAGAAACAACTTGTTCAAGTACATAAACAGGCACATCAGCTCGGCAAAACAAATATTGTTCAAAAGAAAGGTGAAACTATTCAAAACTGGAAATAAGAAAGTACA